GAACTAAATGTACCATCCCCTCTTGCATCAAATCCAGCACAGGCACGGGGCTGCTACTAAAAGAGGTAGTCCCTCTCCACATTTCTCATGCCCAGTGGCATTCTGTCCTTCTGCATCAGACCTAGCACCCTCTGGCCACCGAGCAGGCTGAGCCAACTTCCAGATCCTGAAGTCATAGGTTTCTGTGCAGGGAAGGGGGTCAATGTTGAGTCGGAGCAGTGACTGAACTGATTTGAGGCCACTTGGGCACTAGATCCCATCCGAGGGAAGCAACAGGAGCTTGCAGTCAGGACTGGATGAGAAGGGGATCATTCCTTCAGCAGCAGCCTGTAGTTACACTGGATTAACCATCACGGGAAGCTGTACTCCAAGCAACACAAGTTAGGTCCAGAGAGGGGATTCTGCCACTTTACTCTGCTCTGGTGAGACCTCACCTGGAGGATTGTCTGCAGGTCTGGAGCCCTCAATATTAGAAGGATATAGACCTGATGGAGAGGGTCCAGAGGAGGGCCACAAGGATGATCAGGGGGATGGAGCACCTCTGCTACAAGGACAGGCTGAGGGAGCTGGGGCTGTTCAGCCTGGAGAAGAGGAGGCTCCGGGGAGACCTAATAGCGGCCTTCCAGTACCTGAAGGGAGCCTACAGGAAGGCTGGGGAGAACCTGTTTAGAAAGGCCTGCAGTGACAGGACGAGGGGCAATGGCTTCAAGCTGGAGGGGAACAGATTTAGACTGGAGATGAGGTGACGGTTCTTCTCTGTGAGGGTGGTGGAGCACTGGAACAGGTTGCCCAGGGAGGTGATTGAGGCCCCATCCCTGGAGATATTCAAGGAGAGGCTCGACGAGGGCCTGGGCAACCTGGTCTAGGTGGGGGTGTCCCTGCTGACTGCGGGGGGGTCGGACTAGATGAGCTTTGGAGGTCCCTTCCGGCCTGGGCAATTCTATGATTCTATGATTATTCGACGACATTTCTCTGAAAGCCCTGCCTGTGCAGACACCACAGCCACGGCTCCAAATCATGCATCATACACCATACCCGACAACAGCTCCACGGTCACCTCTTCCCAGAAGCAAGAGGTTAGCACGGGCAGCAGCTGTGAGCTCGCAGTACAGCAGGCCACCTCTTTTTGCTGGAATGTGCCATCCTGGCAGCAACAAGCCCTGTGATCCGGCAGGAAAATTTGCAGGAAGACTTTGTGGTTAGGAACCAGGCTGGACAGATTGAGATAAGGAATTAGCGAGGGTAATCAAGCCATTGGAATAATTTACCCGGGGAACCAGTGCAGTCTATCACTTGATATCTTGAAATCAAGACTGGGCACTTTTCTAATAGAATTTGGGATTTCATGCAGTGATAACCAGCTGGGAATGTGGATACCTGCTAGGGGTCAGAATAAGGTGTCTGTCCCCAGACGGCCGGTACCACAAACATCAGCTGTGTGATCACAGAATCACAGAATCTTCTAGGTTGGAAGGGACCTTAAAGATCATCTTGTCCAACCGTCAAGCTAACTGACAAAAATAGACACCCACACAACAAACAAGGAGCATCATCACTAAACCAACCTCAGGGAAGAGGGGAACAATTTCTCTCTGTACGGCCCAAGTGCTGAAACAACAGAGCACATCTACACTTGCACTGAAGTCACTTCTAAGCACTTCCTTAAAAGCCACAACGGGAGTTTGGTGAGGAGCTGCAAAGCTGAAAGGATTCACAAAACTTTACCAGGGGCGACTACTGCAATAAGCTAGCTGTGTATAATTTAGCTAGACTGTAACTAAGCAGCCAACATCAAACTGGAAAGATGACCAGGTGACAGAAAGCACAGTAAGTCTTAGAATCAAATATTCTTGGAAGAAAAAAAAAATTAAAAAGTGATTTCCATTATGAATTTGAAATCCCTTGCAGGCTCTTTCTTGAATTTTGCCAGGAATAACCAGAGTGAACATAATTTACATGAATACAAACTAATTAAATAAAACAGCCCACTTCAAACCAGACGCCAAAATAGAATACGTTAAAAAAAAAAAAAACAACAAAAAACAACACAAACCCAACCTATAGCAAAATTTGGCTCTTTACCTCTAGAAAGCACTTGAAATGTGTGAACCATGAGAGGGGATTAGCTAGATGTTCTCTTGAGTCTTAAGTCAATAGGATGAAATTTAAAAAAAAAAAAAAAAAAAAGTCTCGGGGAACAGACTTTTACCGGCAAAAACCTATCAGGCTGCACAAGAGGTTCCCAGAGGAAGCACTCGTGTCCCACCGTTTCAGACAGCAGCAACAGGAGGTTTTGGCAAGAGCACCCGCCACGAGCCCGGCCGCCTGCTGTCACTATCAATTAGATCGTGTAACCCCACTCGCAGATTTATCCAGATTGCTAGGCTACTGCCCAGCCTGCACGCTACAAATGCCACCCTCGGCCACGAGCTGGCAAAACGAGGCTCTACACAGAAGACAGCTGAGCCACTCCAAATATTAACGATAAATCAGAGTTAAGAATAACTCAGATCAGGTACAGCTTCAAGTCTGATTTACGGATGCCTCCTCCTCGCCCAACTCAGTCACAGTTCCGAAATCTGGGTCACCCATACATTATTCCTCCAAACCAAGCCACCTCCCTCAACGTGCAACCCTTTAAAAGGACCCTGCCCTTATCCGAGCCATCTCCAACAAGCCATTTGGGTTACGAGAAGCTCCAAAACACTGGAGAACCGGGTCACAAAACTCCCAACGACACGTTAAAGAGCCGGGGCTCGGTCAGAGAGGAACGGGCAGGCAGCTCAAGGAGAAGCCAACGCCATCCACATCCAGCAGCTCCTTGGCAAAGCCTGCAACAAGTCACCACAGGCGAGTCCAGCTCAGATCTCCTTCCCCCTACCCCTGTTTGCCCATCCAGGGGTGATCCAGGCCTTCTCCAACCGCTGGGAATGAAGGAAGCATCAAGCCCAAGGATAACACGGGTGCCTGTGGGGGGGGAGGACAGGTAAAACCAGAGCCCTGCCAGCTCAAAAGCCCCCCAGTAGGTCGTTTGGGGGGCTGAGGTTGCCCCCCAGCCGGGGGGGGGGGAAGGAGCTGGGAAGCCAGCGTCCCGGCAGGTACCTCGCCTTTGGCTCCTCTGCCTTCCCTTGGGTGACAGGCCATAAAAAGTCACGAGGCGCCCGGCCATGCCCAGCAAGGAGGAAAAACAACCAGGCGTCCAGAGTTCAAGCACAGCCCCGAGTCCCGTCTGTCCGTCCGTCCGTCCCTGCAACGGGGCGGCCCGGCTGGAACTGAACCCCCCCCCTCCCCATCATCCTCCCACCAAAGCGAAGGCCGTGGGATCTCTCTCTCCCTGCGTGGGAGGCACCATTTCTGTGGGAAGAGAGAGGCTCCGGCTGCCGGCGGCTCAGCCTGGGACCGGGGCCTGCGCTGCCGGGGCCCTACCTGCTGCCGGCGGCAGGAGGAGGAGGAGGAGGAGCGGGGCGGAGGGGACGGACGGGCGCTGCCGGTGGG